TTATGTAAAGTTTGAAAATTACTTATATTAAACATTATAAATTTCAAACTTTACATAAAAGCAATGTTTCAAGAAGAAATTAAAGAAACTTTTCAGTTACGTTTGGTTTTGGCTAGTCAGATATCATATAAAAGTATTTGCAAAATAAACTCAATAATTAAAAACAAAAATGTTGTGTCACAAGTAATACTTTAAGATTTATTATTAATTAAATGTTACTTATTACCGCTACTATAAAGTTAAAATTGAAAACCCAAAGAATTTCCAAATGAACCTGAATACTGTAATTCAAATAAAATCTTTAAAATTTTGAGCCACGTACAGCACCATTTGATCCAGACCCGCTAGAAATCCCCGATTAGCAAATGCAACCCCAACTAAATTTTCATTGGGGAACAGGAACAAAATAGTACTGGTGCCGTACAGTCCACCCGAGTGCCAAATCAGTTCTTTATATGGGTATGGCGCCGGTAGATGAGTGATAAACCAACCCTTTCCTTAATATTATAAGTTTAATAATAAATGAAAATAATTCTTATTTATAATATGGTTTTTATGTAATAAAACTATTCATACCATAATCATTTGTACCAAGCATATCTGGCTTGATTTTGCCCACAGTTTCCGGTGACCACAACTCCTTAACAGTCAGTTGAGCTATAAAGCCTATGATGAATAACATATGATATTAAAGTGTTTCAAAATATTATATACTGTATTCATAATATAAATTTCATATATACTTTGATTATTGCCGTGATATGCGGATAGCATAGCATTTCCAAAACGTAACAAGTCTTCAGCCGTGGATACAATACCTCCCGCAGACATCCAACCCTCGTATTGAAACAATTCATCGATTATATCGGACTTTTGCAATGTCCCGGATGTTATGTTTGATAACTGATAGTATTGTGGTCTGTGTTTGAATATCTTTTCCCGTCTCTCAACAAACGTTGAATTCATGTTTAATTGTGTAAACATTTTCTTAATTTCATTTTCAAATGTGTTGTGAAGTATAGACTCAATGATAGCGCCAGTCATTTGGAAACCATAGTTAGAATAACTCCATTCAGTTCCCGGTTTTGATAGTAAGGCTTCATCTTTGAATGGTTTAATAGTTTGGCTCACATTGTCTGCACGTCTTATCAGGTATTTATCAAAATCAT